GAAGTAGTCAGTGTCATCACACAATCCCCGGTCAGAGTACAGGGAGACTGAAAGAAATATTCCCAGCAGTAGCAGTTTTCATTGCTGGTAAAGTAATGGGTAGGTATTATTTAAATTAAAAGTTATTTTTCTAACAATTAGATTTTCTATGCTGCTAGATAGATACCACACAAACAGGTCAGTGCATACACAAACCTGCACAACAGCAGACCACTTAGAAGTGTACTGGATTGAAAGGAAGATTGTGTGTAGACTCTCATAGGAGTACAAATTTTAGACCTACAGGAGCAGGAAAATGCCAACTAATTTGTTATTTTTTTATTTACTCTCTCTTCACACACTCAGTGATTATTTTTGCAGCTATTTTGCTTGTTAACTTAGTGACTCCAAGGAGAACAATAGTGCTGTCTCCAAATTATTTACATGTAAGGCCCATCTATCTTTTAGGTACAGACACTGTAAAATGTGTGTGGTCACCCATATTCCACTTAAATACCTCTCACTATTTGGTGTGCAGGACCACTGAGGGGTAAGATAAAATCTTCTCTCCCACCACCAACTTTATTCTTTTTCGTGGGTGGATTTTATATTTTGTTTTTCTAAACAACAGAAAACAGTTATAGTTCCACCTCGTATGGGCTTCCTCCCCCAAGAGCTGTAAGCTCAGTATGTGCACATATGTAAGATTTCAAGTGCAAACGAGAACAGAGCAGGAAACAGATTTTCACAGTTGCCGTCTGGGTCCTTGTGCAAGTGCCAATGTAAAGCTGCTCGCTGAACAGTGAAGCACAGTATAATGTTGCCTGGCTCTGAGGAAACGGATTAGAAAATCTAAACTTCAAAGCAGATCAATGGAATAGGGATTTGGAATTACTGTACCACATTTCAGTGATATACAGTGTTGTCAAAACCTTTTTCCTACAGAAGTACAATTATGGGCAGCATTGAGATACCTTTCAAAATGCCAGGAAAGAGGGTTGGGGAAATTTAGTTAAGAATAAGAAAGTATGTTGCTTATAACCCAGGAAGCATATGCTGCAGCATCCAGGTATCTCAGGGTGATGGGTAGGGAGGAGGGGGAGGAGATTTGTCCTGAATCCAGGGAATCGTATGGGTCAAGAGGGCTGTCTAGAAAGAAGAGGGATGTTGGGTGGAGGTTTAATCTCTTGGGCTCAGTGGGGAAGAATTACTTGCTCAACTTTTAGAAGCTAATAATAACTACCTTTAAATTTTGCAGAGGAAGGGGCAACATGTGGGCTAGATCCTGAAGAAATCATATATGATCATTCTTCCTTGCCTTTTCATGTATTCATCTTTATTTAAGTTGAATTCAAACTTTAAGTTTATTCAACTTTAAATACTAGTTAAAGTAATGAAAGGCCTAGTTTAGGGTTAAATTCAAATTTTATATTTTCCTAGCATTTTGAATGTTTCTGATTTTTCTCTATGCCCCTCAAATGTCTTGCAATCAATTTATTCATGTCTGTTTTTTTTTTCCCAGTAAGAAATAAGGCATTTCAATCCATAGTTAGAGATAAGATGTTCGATACCCATCTAACATTTTGGATAGAGTTTGGCTAAATTAACATTTTAACACTTAGTGGAAACATTCCACTGTGCCTGGTACTAATAAGAAAAGGAGGGAGGACAAAGGGAGAAGGAGAGGAAGGGGTAGGGAGAAGAGAGGGGCAGAGAAGAAAAAGAGGAGGAGAAAAGGAGGGAGGGAGGAGAGAGGGACAGACTGGTTGATTGTTGTTTCTGTGAGTAGATGTATGTATGAATGAATATGGTATTGGAAAGACTATTTAAAAAAAAAAAAAAAATGGTACCTGCAAGATACAAAACTGCTCCAGGAGAAGGAGGAGTAAACAGCTTTGCTTTGGTGGGTGGGCCGGGACAAAGACCAGGGAGACTTCATAAGAAGATACTTGAACCAGATCATAACATGAACAGTAGTTTTCCAGAGTTTCCAGCATGGTACCTAGCAGCAAGTGTGGGTAAAGGCAATAAGGTGTAGAACAGCTGGAATGTTTAGGGAGGGTACAAATAATTTGCCAGTCATGGATAATAGGAATAATGTGACAAGGGTTTTGACGGATGATTAACATGTTATGAAGGGGGTCTGTTCGTAACATTCCTGATGAATTGGGGGCAAGTACTGTTGAGTGCTAGGAAAAACAAGGAGCATTGATCCTCACCTTAGAATGTATTGGGATTTAGGAGACAATTAGGGTGCCAGGCATGGTGGTGCATGCCTTGCAGTCCCAGCACTTGGGAGGCTGAGGCAAGAGGTTTGCAGTGAGTTTGAGGCCAAGCTTGTGTATTGGTCAGGGTTTTACTTAGAGGAACAGATATAATATAAGGAACAGATATTAACACAAGATATACATTGTATAAGGAATTACAAGATTGGCTTATGATAGTCAACCGCAGGCATCTGCACACCCCAGACTGAGGAGTTCAGTCTCCAGGTCGGAAGCTCAATGCTGTGCTCCGTGCAAATCTCTGTTTTTCTGCTAATGGGTCTACGAGGGAAGACTGAAGAGTCTGAAGGTGAAGGATCCAAGCCCGAGGTGGAAGAGTCTGGGCTGCAAGCCAGGCGCTGAAGTCCAAGCCAAATGCGAAGACTGAAGACTGAAGCTCTTTGACCAAGTAGAAGATCGACTACTTCCTCAGCCTCTTTATATGGTCTGTTTGTGCTGAATCACTCTGGGAGCAGAACCAATTGTGCCCCAGGGCGGGACCCCCACCAGTGGAAGTGCACTGCAGAGTCATCTGGTCAAGTTGACACAATGTATCAACCACTACACTTTGGCGACAAAGTGTGTTCAAAGCCAGCCTGAATCACTTAATGAGACCCTGTCTAAAAATAAAAGATATTAGGGAAACATATTCTAGTGTGGAAATAACAGAGCCTGACAAACTATACTGCTACTTTAGTATAAAATATACAACTACCAAGACTGATATTGAGATTTTTTTAGAATTTTAAAATGTATTAAAATTTTATATTTTCAAACTCCTCATAGAGTTTGTATGGATATATCACTTGACTAAGAAATTTGTTACTTACTGAGTAAAATTTCTGCCTGGATCCTTGGAATAGTAACTTCATTTAGGATTGAAAATAATTCATTTGCACATAGCTATCCAGAGACATCCTGTCTGTAAGTCAACACAGCTGAATGAGGAAAGTTCCCTGTGATATACTTTCCTCTGCTAGGTAGGATGTTTTATTGTTACATACACACATTTGTCATAAAGATGGGGTGGGATAAGTACTATGTCTCTCCTTAGGCTGAAAAGGAAATTTAGAGGGGAATTTTTGTATAGTTTCTCTGGACTGTGTGCTTGTAACTTTTTAGAGCTTATTTCTGTTGTATTGTTTTTATTTTATTTATTTTTTTAACTTGTATGTGTGTGTGTGTTTGGGTGCATGTGCTTAGGTGCACACACCCATGATTGCTGGGGAGCTAGTCAGGGTCTTGTACATACTAGGCAAGTGCTTTATCACTGAGCTAAAACATAGACTACATAAGACCAGTTTTAAGTAGGAGCTCTACGTTAATAAAAGTTGTTTTCTTAAACTTAACTTTGAATGCAGGTGCTATTTTGATCCTCAGAATATATTGAGCTGAAAGTAATAGAATTGCTATTCTTTCTTCTTAATTGCTCAGCTAGTTCAGTTGTTATTGATGTTTTCTTTTCCTACTTTCAGTCTCTTAGTTTTTGTATTGGAAACTGCAGGAAAATATATTTTGTGGTAATACAGGATACATTCTAAGATAACGTCAAAGTAGTAAATATTTTGCATATTTTGGTTTAATGAATGTTTTCCCCATGATTGTGCTTATAATTTGGGGAAAGGTTCTCGGCTACGATTGCATTAGCTCAGCGGTTTTAGAATAAGATGTTTGTGGGAGGGGCGACAGAAGCTTCAGTCATTGATTCTCTCTTTATAACTGCCCTTTTAGCTAGAACAGATTACTTGGTAGTGCTTCTGGCCCTGCACAGACTGAATCACAAGGAAGGAACTTTACATAAACCATTTATACTCAATGTTTGGTATGCTGGCAACATAAATCAACAACAATATCCATTACAAATTCATCCCTTTATCAGTATTATCTTGATAGAACTGATCCCACTGTGTGGGAACTTGAACTCTGCTTCAATACATCTAGCCCTGGATAATTAATTATTCAGGGCACAGAGAACCTGGCCCCAGCAATGTAGAGTAATTCTTCCTGGTCAGCGTTAACTCCACTGGCAATAATAAATAGAAAAAGTCTCCAGTGATGCCAGTATTTTAAAGTGATTAATCATCTTTCCCCCCCAACCTCCCCCTTAGTTTTCTTTAACTAGGATTTTTCAGCAATAAATCTTTAACAATACAGGTAGGAATTGTTCAGTAATTAAATTTTGCCCAGCTTAATTTCTTACCTTTTATGTGAAATTAAGAAACGTTACATTTTAAGGAGCCCTGATCAAAATTCAAACCAAGAAAAATCTTTATGGAATACAGATATATTCTCTATGGATGAGTAAATTCTCATTTTGAATATTAGATAGAACACATACTCATAAAAATTGTTCATCAACACCAGTTGGGGTGTCAGATATTCTGAAGTTTTGAATTGCTTCACTTTCATGCTTATGGTTTTTCTGTATTAGGAAGAATCTGACATACACATATGTTCCTACATGGAAAGAATAATTACTTATTTCTTAACTTCCAGATAATTGATGTCAGCTTCTTAGAAAAGGAATATTTTTTCTCTGTTTTGTGCACACAAAATGTACTTGCTGAAGTGTTAGGTAAATGCCTGACTGAGGGTGACCATATATTTCCAAATTACACCCCATAAGCTGCCCAGCCATCATGTATATTTTGAGCGACAGGGACAGATGTGACATATCTCTTGTGACATACTTCTGTACCACCAGTCTGTGGCTCGAGGTGACTCCTGTCTGTCCCCGGATGCTTTTCTCTGCCGCAGGACAGCACAACGATGCACGGATGAACCTTGCCATTGCTCTCACTGCTGCCAGGTATGGGGCTGCCACAGCCAATTACATGGAGGTGGTGAGCTTGCTCAAGAAGACAGACCCTGAGACGGGGAAAGAGTGTGTGAGCGGAGCCCGGTGCAAGGATGTCCTCACAGGTAGGCCAAGTGGGAAGGAACTATTTCTTAGCATTTTGTCTTCCTTCTAGGATGTCTAAATTATAATTTTTGTGTTACTTTAAGCCAAACTTCAGAGTCACTTTAATTATATTCTTTATTGTTAACAATGGCTGGTTTAACATGAAAATTTTCCTCTGTAGGACTTGACAATTCCTTCCCCTTTGTGTTAATAATGATAATAATAATGCCCACAAGGGCCAGCCTGATAGCTCATTGGACTAAAGCGCCTGCTTGGGCAGAGTGTAGTGGCCAGGGTTTGTTTCCCAGCTTACTGTGTTGGCAAAATCCCCATGACATGCTGAGACAGAGATTGAGACTGGTGGCGTGTGCCTGTAATCCCAGCACTTGGGAGGCTGTAAACAGAAGAATCACTACGAGTCTGATCCACGTAATAAGATCCTGTAGACCCTGTAAGACCTTGCCCTAAATACAGAAAAGAAAAAAAATAATGCCCACAAAATTCCCACATCTTTGAATGCATTTCATTTTTTTTTCAAAAAGATATTGTTAATAAAATTAAGTAAATATGCCAAATTTCAAAGTGTCACTTAGGTGACATTTATACATCACTAAAGTCAGTCATCTTTAACTCTGGTTACATTGTTACTCTTGTCCTTTTCCTGTAGCCATGTAGGCAGTTGGAAAATTGCATCATTCTTGAATAAAATCAACTCTGAGAATCCATTGTCTCACAGCAGTGCTGTTTGCACATGTGAGTTTCAGGACACAGTGGCTTATTTACTCATTTTATTTGCTTCATGATTGCCACTTAATCCTGGGTATTTCATAAATAGACTGAGAAACAGTGAGAAGGTGGCACGCTTTTTCCTTTAATTTGGACTTGTTTGGGTGAATTTACTTAGGAGTGAGGCTTTGGTTTGGCTCGTCGGTAACTCTGGCTGCTCATGTCCCTTCCTGTAGTATGCAGTGTACTTCACCATAGGTTAAGTTAATAGATGAATTAATAATCCACAGCATCAGTGAGCAGAGAAACAAATGGGTTGCATGATTGATGCTTCTTTCTTTTACAGGGCAGGAATTTGATGTGAGAGCCAAATGTGTTATCAATGCTACAGGACCTTTCACAGACACAGTTCGCAAAATGGATGATAAGAATGCTGCAGCTATTTGCCAGCCGAGTGCGGGTGTCCATATTGTGATGCCGGGTTATTACAGGTAACTGCATTTCATCTTACTGGCCAGCACCTGAGAAAGGGGGACACAAGTAATTGTCTATGCATTTAATTTCTCCCTGAGTACTCTTCTTAATAAGATGTGGTCTACATGCTGCTTATAATGATGAGAAATAAGAAAAGAGCTCTTTAAAAGCAAAATACAAGCCAGCCTTGAGAATGACTTTGCAATTTGCAGCTGTACTTGTTTCTAAGGAATAATGATTTGGTATCTATTTTTAATTAAAAATTTTTTTTAAAAAAATGTATTTAGTACAGGATCTACAGGGTCTCACTACACAGATCAGACTTGTAGTGATTCTCCTGTTTTCAGCCTCCCAAGTGCTGGGATTACAGGCACATGCCACCACATCCAGTGGGATCTACTTTTTTACACTATATTTTGTTCAATGTAGTCATTTTTGACACTAAGTATTAATAAAAATTAATATTAATTTTTGAATTATACTTTTAATAAAACAGTAAAAATTAATTTTGTAAAATTCTCAGATTTGCTTATTATAATGTAAAATATTGGCTAGTCTAGTATTCTTAGGATAACTTTTGAAGTATGCTTTAAAAGATATTATAGCAAATAAAAAGCAGATGTAATTTCCAGTGTATCAAATTAACAAAGATAAGTGAGGATGAAGAAATGAACAGGGTGAAACATAAAATTATTTAAGATGGGTAATCAGTACATGGAAGACTTTGCTACTTATTATATACTTGAAATTTTTCATTAATTGAAAATAAAACATGTTTCTTTTCAAATTACTAATAATGTTTATGCCTAAAGTATATTTCACAGCATCTGTAGATAAATTCTGACTATGCTGAGAGTACAGAAAACATATACTTTTTTTACTTCCATATATGGTAGATCTAGTAGGCAAACTAATAATTCTATATAAAATAGTAACTTATAAGAAAAGCTATTCATCGCTTCTCGACCTTTTGGCTAAGATCAAGTGTAGAAAAGCTATTCAGTAACACATTATTTGCTGCGGAAAATTAGAAACTACTTCTGTTACTCACTTTGGGAGAATAAATAATAGCATATCCACAAAAGGAGTATTATGTAGTCATCACAAATTACAGGATTTTTTTGGTAATAGGGTCTTTTTAGTAGTTCAGCCTGACCTTTATCTCACTGTGTGACAATCGAATCCTCCTGCCTCAACCTCTTGAGTGATGGGATTATAGTTGTGTGCCACCATGCCTTGAAAGAATTAAAAGTAATTGTAGTGTTCTGGGAAAGTACTAATATGTTAATTTAACATGCAAGACTAGAGCTTGTATGTGTAATAGGACCCAAACAATATATATTTCTATGTATTTTTCAATATATAGGTAGACTTGGAAATACATTAAATTTAATAGTAAAGTGATTATGGGTGAGAATTAATTCCTTTTCATGTTTTGATATTTTTTCCCCTAAAGGATATGTAAACCTTTTAATATTTGATAAAATCGATATATAGAAACTAACTTTAATATCTATATTCTTCTTGAGTGCTATTCTGCCATGTTACAGCTGATAGTATTCAGCAGCTAAATATTCCTGAAGAGAGTCCAAGATGCACCCAATTTGTGCCATTTACACTGCTACTAAGAAATGTATTTCAGAAAATTCCGAAGTTTCCTTGTCATTTCTAAATGCCCACATGTAGTAGGTAGTCTTTTCTCGGTCTTTAAAGGTTCAGCATCACTGGTGGACAGCTTCCTAGTTTGTCACCTCATTTTTCTTTCAGGTTCTGATTTTTTATATTCTGAAGTGCTTAATTTGTATAAAGTTTGTCAGTGATTTTTTTAAAAATTATTTTGTATTTGTTACTACTTTATCTTCAGGTTTTATTAGTTTCTAGTGTATAATATGTAGTATCTAAAAGATAGTTTTTCTCCCATAGTGCTAGGGGTTGAACTCTAGGCCTTAGGCATGCTGAGCAAGTACTCTCCTACTGACTACATCTATAGCCCTGTAAGAAATATTTTTTGAATGAATCCTACTCTATTTGTATTAACCTGCCATGTTGAGTCATTGCTTTCTGTGTATATTTTTTTTTTGTTGGTATTCTTTTAAAGAGAGAAAAAAACTCAAGTAAAACGATATAGAATTTCAAAACAAGATGATAGGAAATTAACAGTGGTTATTGTATTGCATATTGTTATCTTCAAAATAGTTTTGGTGTGCAAAATTGTTTGAAAAATATAAGCATTTTCAATGAGCTAATAGAAATTAATAGCACATATGTGTGCATTTTTAAGTTTTCTCTTCTTTTTTTCCTTTCCCCCTTCTCAGTTGTTCTTTCATTTTGAGCAGTTTCTTTCCTTTTCACAATATCTGTTGTACCTTTTGGATTTTACTCTTTGAGCTTCTAACGGTAGGGGAATAATACATTGTTTGCTCATGTGAGTCTTACGTCACTCATGAGTATGGTTTGTAGTTGCATCCATTTACCTATTCAAGCCTCAGTTATCTTTGCTTATAGCCGAGTAGTACTCCATTGTATAAAATACTACATTCTTTCTATCCATCCTTCTTTTGATGGGCATTTGGGTTGTTTCCAAGATTTAGCTATAACAAATTGTGCTGCTGTAAACTGTTAATAAAGACTTGCTCAGTTTGGATTTGGAATGTCCCTGAAGGCATGTATACTAAAGGCTTGACCCCAGCTTGGTGCTGTTTGGAAATAGTAGAATCTCAATGGGTGGGCCTCGAAGGAGGACTGCTGGTTGGGATGGAGGGTGTGCTTGGAGGCATTTGGAGGCCTCGGTCTCTTACAGTTTTGAGCCCTGCTGAGCTGGCTCATTGCTTGCACACAATATGGCATGCTGCCTTACCTCAAGCCTCAGGGACGATGCTCACAGGCTAGAAACTCCAGAGCTGTAAGCCAGAATACACCTTGCTTCTTTACAAGTTAATTTTTTTTAAAAGGGAAATGTAGCTAACACAACATTTATAAAGAAGTTTTACAAAAAACTGTTGAGAAGTTAAAATATAGAGGAAAAAAAGGTGCAATTCTTCATCTTGATGCTTAGATAAACCCCTATAGGTGAAAAGTACAAATAGTACAAGTATGAGATCAGAGAATTCTAACACTACAGAAAGTTAGAGACAATGATAGTGGAAGTCTCCCTGCTCTCCTACCAACTTCCTCCAGTTGTTTTTTGATAATCAGTAACTCTTCCTTTCAGGTCCTTCCAGGAAAGTTTACTTTCACTTATACAAATGTCTTTTGTTAATGAATAGAGTGATTTGTTCTAATGGTGTTTGTAAATAGGATATCATGTCCACATCTTGTACAGCAATGAACCACTAGGAAGAATGTATGCAATGTGTTAATTATTAAAACTGTCCTACCAATTTGATTTGAAACTGTCTCATTGCTATTTGTTTATCAATTAAATTATGGGAAAAAAAGGCAGGAAGAATTATTTTAATGTTAGAAAATCCAAAAAACAATTTTTTAAAAAACATTCTTTAGTTTATATTAAGAACAAATCTGGAATTTCCATCAGTGTGTGGCTGGGTGTTCTTCCAAAAATAGCTATTATAAATAAAACCACAGGACATGAAAATAACTATCTGCTCCGTCCAGTGTACTGATGCTTTTTACTGCTGACAAGAGGTCAGTTTTTTTTTTCCTATAATGTGTGTACACACTGTTAGCTCTAATGCTGATTGCTAAGTAGTTAACAATAAATTGATTTCTGTTTAGCTAAGGGAACTTCAGGAAAGCAATAGTTTGCATGCGAAAAAAGCTCACTACCTTTAACCATAGATGCACACATAAATTAGCAGCTATTTCTTACTGATATCACATCAGTCCTACAGCTTGGAGGGACCTGTGCATGTCAGACATTGGTGTGACCTTGCTGTTTTAATCCTTCATAAGAAAACAAACTTTTACTTTAGAGAGAGTATAAGTTAAGTAATTTAGAACTGATGAAGGATATTTCCAAGTGGATTCTTAAAATTTTATACCATTCATTAATAGCTTTGTCTTCCCTCTGTGCTTGTTAATTTTATGTTTGACACGTCTTCTTTTAAGCAGTTGATTCTCTACAGGCTCCAGTCTTGCATGTGTTGGTAGCCATCACCTTCACCCTTTAAAACAGCTTTTATTGCATTGAAAGTTTTTAAAGGATTCACTAGTTGCGCATTTCTAACTATATTTCCTATCTAGTTTGCTGATTATTATAATTTGGTGCTTAATTTATCAGGCTGATTGCTTAAGGAGTATGAATTTGATCCATGAGAATAGTTGAGTATAGATGTGTCAGCATATAATTTCTCAATGTTAAAATATAGAATTTTGTTTCAATAAAATACTGTGTATGAGATTGAATGCTTAAACTCTAGATGCATGAATTTCCAATTCTGATGTGACTGAATTAACCTAAGGACATATCAGTTTGGAATAAAAATGTGTGTACATATAATCCAGCATTGGGGTAGCCTCAGGCATGAAGATTGCAAGTTTGAGCCCATCAAAAACAATTTGTTTAAAAAAAAATACAGATGCCTGGGGGTGTACATTAGTGGCATAGCACCCATGTGTTCATTTTCTAGCACTGCCCCTCCAAAATACTTACAAAACTTAGGATTAACTGATAATTACTTTTAAGGTTTTTATCATTTTGTGACAAATGCAAAGAAAAATGTGTGTTGTCATATTTAGAAATCAAAAGTACTCAACGCTACTAGTTTTCAATGTATTTTCTTTAAGTAATCCTAGAGTAAAGCTAGGAATCTTTGGTGAAGGTCTGAGGAGTTGGCATGTGTCTGGTGCTTTTTTGTTTAGGTTTGCAAAGTGCCATCCCTCTTCTGTGTCTGTTGTGGGGAATGAACAATGATTTCTTTCTGGAAAGGCAGAGAGACCTAACAGGCATTTCGTGGAGCTGAGGGCTTGTTGAAGCGAAAGATATATAATACTTCTTGTGGTTTATATAAAATAGATGCATTAGCTAACCTGAGTGTAGTTTTCTTTTTTATATAAAAATAATTTGGGTTTGGTTTTAAGCAGTTGTGAACTTGTCATTCTTACACATTTGAATAAATCTTTAATTTTTTTTTCTTTTTCTTTATTTTTAGGGAAAGGTCTACAGGGTGTTCAGGGTCTCACTACTAGATCAGACTTACAGTGATCTGCCTGTTTAGATCCCTCCCAAGAGCTGGGATTATAGGCAATAGTCTCAATTGCCGATTTAGCACACCCTCAGGGTGGGGCTGGCACAGCAGTTCTGGGAATCGGGAACCCCTGGCTCCTGTGCCTGCTTGCAGGCACTTTAATCCTCTGAGCTATTTGGACAGCCCTTTTAAAAATTATAAGGGAATAATAATTATACAGAGTTGACTGTATGCTCCTTTCTTATTTACTAGTTCTTTGGAGGGAGGGATTTGTAGGCTAGATTTTACTAGGTAGTCCAAGATGGGCTTTGAACTTGTTAAATAGCCCAGGCTGACTTTTTTTTTTTTTTTTTTTTTAATGTATTTGGCACAGGGTCTCACTACTGTTTTCAGCCTTCCCATCTCCAGAATTATAGATGTGCACCACCATGCCCGAACTCAGTGGCCGGCTCAGCATGCCCAGGGTGGCGGGGCCTGCCAGCATATGGTGCCAGGGATCAAACCCTGGTCCCTGTGCTTCCCTAAGCAGGTGCTTAGTTTGGTGAGCTATCTTGCCGGCCCCATAGGCTGACTTTGAATTCACAGTTGTCTGGCCTCAGCCTCCCAAGTGCTCTCATTATCGGCATGCACCACTATACCTGACTCCTCTGTGCTCTTTTAAATTTGTGTGTTTAAGAGGGATTTCTTGAAATTTGTTCAAACCAAGTAGAATGTGTTTTCTGTTTAAGAAATTATATTAATACAAGCTAAAAATATTATACGAAGTATTTTTAACTTGGCATTTATATGTGAATTCAGTCAAATTGAAACAGCTATCTCATGTGTTGTGCTCTGTTTGAATATGGCACTGTCAGATTCTTCCCACCCCTTTAACATCTTCTCCAAATTTCTTTGCATAGCTAATGACTTTATTAGAAGAACAGTTTCTAGTGATAAATATGACAGCTTTTGTTAATGTTTATTTACAGTTGCCTATTCTTGTAAATTTATGTGTTTCATATTTTGGTGTTTAGATTATTCACAAGTGAAAATTCTTGCCTAGCTTTTTAATGCCTAATATTTTGAATATTTTATATAGCCATCAGAATAGGCAGCTAGTACCTTCATCTAATAGCAGAATGCACTAGTGTTTTGTGTTTAAAAGATTTTCCTTGCTAAGGTATTCCTTTCCCTTTTACCTGTTTTAGGAGATTGTTATTCAGGCAGTAATGTAAAACTGAGCTTTTTTTCTGCATGCGCTTGTTGAGATTTCTGTAACCTTGAAATAAAGTAAGAAATCTTGTATTTGGGAAGTGGCACAGTTCATCTTAGCACAAAGGAATAAAGAACTTTATAATTCCATTTTAGTTTCTAGAAAGTTAAACTCTACTTTCTCATGTACTTTTGAGGCCTTCTACTAAAAGATGTGCCCTGTGTTAAATGATCAAGAAAATACTTTTCATAGACTTGGAAAGAGGTAGAAGGGTTATCTTTCGTTGACCATATTAAGAGAGTGTATTTATCCCCCTGACATCTGAGGTGAATGGTCCGTGAGTACAAAAAACAGTTGGAAGTTAATTACACTTAGATGGTTGAGGTGAAAGAGTGGTTCTGTTGCAGACTAATATGATTTTCACATTTGCACAGTAACTTTTTTTGGCCAACCTTTGTTTTTTTTTCACTAATTTCTGGTTTAGGGAAAGGGCAGTAAAGTAGCAGTTTATGTTTTTCTTGTTTGCTTATTTGAGCACTAATGAATAAAATAGTTTTTTGAGTGCAGATTAATATTAAAACTTCTGCTAATTTCGGAACTAAATTTCTTTTTACCTTAGCCCTGAGAGCATGGGACTGCTTGACCCAGCCACCAGCGATGGGCGAGTTATTTTCTTCTTACCCTGGCAAAAGATGACTATTGCTGGCACTACTGATTCTCCAACTGATATCACACATCACCCCATCCCTTCGGAAGAAGATATCAACTTCATCTTAAATGAAGTGCGCAACTACCTGAGCTGTGATGTTGAAGGTAACAAAACATTCCTTTAACCTTGTCCCCTCCAGTTTTTGGTAAAAATTTATTTGTTTTCTATTTGCTAATCTTCATTTTCACTGGTTGTATAGTTTTTATTGGTTAAACAAGGTTTTAATTTTGGCAGATTTGTACACATATAACATACCTTGATCATTTTCATGTTTGTTTTCCTTTCTCCTCTTTCCCACATCTCTCCAGCTCTCACTGGGGTCTCCTCATCTCCAGTCTGCCACATCTTCACACCTGGTCTGCTATCACTCTTTTGTGCTTCGCACTTCTTACAGATTTATCAGGCCAAAATACAACATGCTGCAAAGAACCTGCATTTTCTTCTCTACTTTGTGCATCCAGAAGAGACTCACATAGACCATTTCTGATAATTTCTAATGGCCAGATTGAAGTGTCACACAACCTCCTCTACAAGAGTAGTAGGAAATGTTAACATCACTTTTTGTAGTTTGGGAAGTCTTACTTAGTTATGGCATAGCCATAGGAAATAAGCACAGAGATGAGAACATAGAGGTGTCTAGTCCAAGAAGTTTAATGCTCTCCTAGCTCAGTCCATTTAGTATTGCTATAAGAAAATACCTGAGACTGGGTGCTTTTTAAAGAACAGAGGCTTATACAGCTTACAGTTTTGGAACAGATGGCCTAAGTACAGGCAGTTGCATGTTTTGTTTCTGGTGAGGGCCTCCTGGCTATACCCAAAATGTTCACATCACATGGTGGGAGTTTGTATAAGAAAGGGGTGAAGGACAGGAGGCAGCAAGAGCCTGGGAACTTTATTGCTCTATGTCAGCCTGCTCTCTCGAGCTCTCTGGATTGGAGCCCAAGTTACTCTTGAGACTAGCATTAACCATGAGGGTGGATTTTTTTTTTTTTTTTGGTGGTCTTTTTTCATTCCGTATCTTAATATGTCTTACTTCCTATCTATGTCCACTCTGAAAACCACACATCACCTCCCACTTCATTGCCCGGGTGCACACCACATTGCTTCTTGGACAGTTTCATCAGTCTCGTAATTGGGCTCTCAGGGCCAGGTTTCTATCACACCCATCTATCCTGCCATGAGAACTTGCTGTCTAAAACTCAGTACTCATCACTTTCCTGCACAAAAATATTCTTTGCATGTTTCCTCACTCCTTTTTGGAAAAGTTATAAACTCAGTTACACAGAACATAAGGCTTTTCATAATTGTCTTTGCAGGTTTATATTTACTTTCTCTCCTTGCATTTTTATGGCATATTTATTTTATTATCATTTCCAAATCAAACCATATACTTTTAAACATTCATGCCTTGTTTTTGTTGAAGCCGTGCTCTGGAATCCCCTTTCTGACAATGCTCTCATCTTGGCAAAATATTTATACTTTAGAAATTTTTGTACTTCATAAACCATCTGTCACTTGTATTTCTGTGGAGTCACACTGCCCTCACATCATAACCTTATGCTTTCTAGGAAATAGGCTAGGATGTAGTCTCACCTAGAGCTCCTTGAGGGGAACAATCTTTTTCATCTAAAAGTTTATTACCTAACTGGCTTGCTAGTCATGATTGTTTTGAGTTAAAATGTTAGTTATAGGTGCTTTCAGGGTTTTTGATACTGGTAGCAGTTTGAAAAATCTAAAAGCAGACAAATTTGAGGTTTTTGAAAAATAGTTGTATCTGTTTTGTCAGCAGTCTTACAATACTGATTTCGGTGAAGGACACACAGTCACTATTTTAGTTCGGATGCAACTCATTAGCAGCTATGAATCTTTTTTCCCTAAAAGATTTTTTTTTTTTCATTTTGTGATCACATATTAACAAAACAAACTGCTTTGAAAACTGGTTCAGGTTACTCTTAGTTTAATTAATTAATCCATATGATTTTCTTCTACATATCTACAACAATAGTATAAATGTATTGAATAAATATAATTAAATTCTACATGGCTTTTTTCCTTATTTTTTTTACTAGGTGCTATTTACAGTACATAATGATTACACCCATTGTGGGCTTATTGTTGTTATTCACCTTGTGCTTCCCAAGCTTGCCTTGCATGTACCACCCTTCTTCCTGCCCAAGTAGCTGGGCTTGTGCCATCATATTAAATACTCTATGCGAAAGTATTCCAGCCTCATTGCAGTTTTAGTGTTACTCTTTATTTTTCCTTTTGAAATCTATGATGAATTTCAATATTATGGTGTGATTCTCTTTCAGTGCATTTATTAATAATCTTACTTCATTTCACATTTACCTGTGTAAATTTTTTTTTTTTTTGTGTGTGTGTAAATTTTTTAAAGTGCCTTTAAGAAGGTTAGATTTTTGGAGCAAAACAAAATTCATTCAAGAGCAGAGAGCTCTATCAGTTTCCAGAATCTTGAAATTCAAATGTGGCAAGGATGGGAAATCTCACCACTTATCCTGCTGTGAGGCTGGATGGTGCTGGAAGCACTTGTGGGTTCTAGGAGGCCGCTGTGCCACATTGTGGGTGGGAATCTCTAGGAGAGAACTGAACCTTAGGCTGTGGTAGACCCTGGATCACTTTTATTTTGCCTATACATAAAGGAAAAATTTGGAAATTCTTGGTTGGCCCATGAAAGCCTTTTCAATTGACATAGCTTTCAGTTGTCATGGAATTGATGAAAGTAATGAAGTTTATTGTTGACTCTGATATTGGGTAGAAGTTGACACCTATGACAGCTCAAACCTGTCTCCTGATAGCCAGGGACATCTTGAACATAAGAATCTGCCACAGAGCAGACATCCAAAGTAAAGGCAAAATTTCTGTCATAGGTTTCATTTTTTTCCACCTGTGTACCATCTAGCATACCTTTTCTACTACAATCTTATGCTTTTAAAATTATTAATTAACAGTGATTCTTTATAGTGTGTTTCAATTCTCGTTTCTGTTTATAGAGTCCTTATATTTGACAAGGTACTCTACAGCTTGATAAAGTATCAATTAAAGTATTATATATTTTAAAGCAAGGATATTTGTGTTTGTATCTTTTCCAGAGAATTGTGTTGAAACCCAATATTATCTTCTGTATAATGAAAGGTGTGGAAAAGACCTAGTTTCAGTCATTTCATTCCATGCTGTTACCACATATATTTTAGAGGAGGTTTATTTTATTTTTTTAAAGAGAGGTTTATTTTTTGTTTTTGGTGCTGAGGACTAAATCCAGGGCTTCCAACTTGCTAGGTAAGCATTCTACCACTGAGCCAAATCCCTAGCTCCTACGACATATATTTTAATATTTACATTTTTAGACCTTATTTTTCAAACTGCCATTTTATTGCCTATATTACCCATTTGATTCCTTGTAACAACCTGAAAAAGTTTATTTTTCCCATAATTGTTGAAGAAACTGAGGCCCTGTAATGCTGTTAAATTTCTTGCCCATAGCTAGTTAGCATTAGCGCTTGATTGAGTATGTCAGTCTGACTGTAACACAGCCTTCTAAATACTGCGTAGTATTCTGATTAGTAGTTCTGGGTTTCATGATGTGATCCACTAGGGAGTGAATTAGTCTATCAGTTCATGTCATGGAAGCTGCTAGACACCTCTAGAATGACAGTGACCTTTACTCTCCCCTGGCTTTATTTGGATTTGAATGTTAAACTATGGGAGATTTCATGTCCTAGCTAATCTCCTGGGCCAACCAGTTTTCTCCAGACTGAAAAATAAGTTTGGGCTAGATCATAGAGCAGTAGTTTTCAAATGTTTTGCATTCAACAAGGGCTGAAATAATCATTTTAAAATGATTTATTAAGTGGATAAGTATAATTCTGACAACAGTTTCTGAGCCTCCCCAAATGGCTATATCCTTAAGAGAAAAAAAGTGTCAAATCTTAACACTCCATGCTGTTCACAGCAGCTGCCACACTTCTGCAAAATGCGTTGGAACAATTCTGAAAAGCATTTTGCCTGTTGGGAATAAGACCATGTCTTCCTTTACAATTTAGAAAGCTTTCTATTCACAGGCTGAATTTTCTAGATTACTTGTTTGTTCTTTTATGAAATGGGTAATTGATAGTTCTGCAGTTTGTATTAAGTTAGGAAAAAAAATGATCTTATGAAAAATGTATCATTAAGTCTGCTGTGTATGTAGAGGTTAATCAGAAGGATGCAGTGGTAAAACTAAGCTGTGACTTAACTTGATCGAGGAAGACAGAAGATTTGCCTCATGCTTTATCCATGTGGTTTTTCTGGAGTGCTTCTCTGTGCAACATCTCTGCTTGTACGCTGGTTTTCACGTATGCAATTAGTGGTGTTTATAGATTGCCTGTTATTCAATTAGCAGCTGAGTTGGCCATATCAACTCACTGCAGACTTGCCTTTTTGCCGCCAGAAATGGTACCAGGGTTATCAACGTACACAGGCTTGGATGTCTTCCAGCTGTTTAATTATAGTGTCATGTGCTTTGCTTTTTCTAGTTACATTAGTTTATAAATGTAATATAGTGTCTTATTTCTGTGATGAACACTTCATTTCAGCAGGTTAAACATGATGGTAGAGAAGTATTGATTTCTGACCCTATTTCTCTTTTGTTCATGTAGATATTTTCACATGGCTCATATTGATTTTTTTTTTTTTTGAAAGAGGTAAACATGAGAAAACACCCCAGAACGTGTGCATCTCTAACCCATGTGAAGCAAAACCACACTTGCTGTACAAGATGCAGACATGATATCCTATTTACAAACACTATTACAACAAATACCTCTATTCATTAAGAGAATGTAACTATATGTCTATCTTAACCATTTTGAATACACAGATGCAAAATGGACTTTCATTTGTATCCCCCCCTTTTTTTTAGTTCCATCATTTGAATATTATAGTTGTGTTAACTCAGCAAAATATTCTAAAAGAGTCCAGTAGTCCATAATAATATTGCGCCTTCCGCTTGACTATAAGTGTGGACTTAAGTGTAAATATAAGAATTATATAATTCTTTATGCCTATTTAAAAATATATTTTAATTTTTAAATGTTTTTTCATCATA